GCGGTACAGGGGGACTGCCCCCCCCCCCTCCCTGCGTTTAGAATCAGGCACATTGTGGACCCACAAGGCATTGTGGACCCATTGCGGACTGCACAGAGTGGTGTGCATTATCATGCACTGCAGAGGTCTGAATCCAGACTTAATTATAACTCACCAAAATATTTCCCAAGATTTCTGCATAGAGTGGGGAAGAGTTAAAGGAGAACTATGAGGTGCTTTTCACTCACCTCATAGTTCTAGCTGACCTGTAAACACCATATGGTTTCCATTTTGGTAAAAAATAAAAGAGAAGACTACATTGAGTAAATAGATACCAAATATGTCAAGCCTTAAAGAAGAACTATGAGGTGAGGGCTTTTCACTCACCTCATAGTTCTAGCCGTCCTGTGACAATGAGACTGTCACAGGTCGGCTCAGTAGATCGGAGGTGAGCGAACACATACCGGCTCTCTGCCGTGACAAGGGAGGGACTGGATTCCCCCTCCCCGCTCCGATCCTCCAGCGCTGACTGGCAGAGGGGGCGGGTACAGCTGGCTCTGCCTCTAGATAGGCAGAGCCAGCTGTCACTCACGCAGCTGGGCGGATCCAGACATAATTGTCGGGATCCGCTTCAGCTGCGGCGTCTCAGTATACTGTGAGCTGTAGCGTAGGGTGATGGGAGGACGCTAGTTTGTGTCCTCCGTTACCCTAAGGAGAACTATAGGGAAAAGCCCTAACCCCATAGTTCTCCTTTAAATCTTCCAGGGTGTCCTTGTTGTGGAGAATTCTGCACACGTTCTGTACTAGGACATGTTGAAAAAAAACTAATTTAACTATAGGTTCACCCAAACAAACGATGTATACATGGCTGGAGTTTCCTACCATATTTAGTAATTTGCTAAACTACGCAAAAGTGTTTTCCTTTGATAACATCGGAGCAAGTCAGAGTATCAGGAACAAATGAATGATATCGGACAAAAGCAATCAGGGTTGGAAAAACACAGCCTGCCCTTTGTATGCCACTGTGTTCTCATATCAAACCTGAACATGGCAAGACTCCCCTTCCCAGGGGCCAGAATGCCATGACCTCACAGTCACCTCCACAATAGGAAATCGAGATACATGACCAGGGCATGATTAAAGGTAGAATGAAGCCCAAAATAGCCCAGAGCCACGGGCTGTGTGTACACAGCACTTCCTATAAGAGCTGGCAGTGGGAGTCTTTGCTGGCACGCTCGATCCACCATGACCTGATCTTATACACAGACTTGGCATTGGTGCCTGCTTTTAAATCACTTGTCATCAACTCCGCCACTGAACAGAACATCAACACAATCCCATGTCTGTGTGAACCTGGGGGAGGTAACTCGGTGTATAAACAGAGATAGGAAGCTAAATAATCATTAGACTACTGGAACAGATCGCTGATAAGAAAGCAAGTTTATAAATTTAACATTATTAATGAAAAGAAGAAACAAACTGTCCAAAAATGCATAAAACAAATGTACACTTAAACCTGTTACTGACATATTTCAGTCACTTTAGAGCAGGGGTGCCCACAATTTTTTTTGTCTTGAGATTTACTTTTCAAATGACGAGCTCAATGAGATCTACCAACCAAAAAACACCTGCATTAAAAAACAAGCAGATCAAAATTGTTACTGGCACTACTGCATCTATCTCTCTCCTGTCTCTCCTCCCTCTCTCCCCTGGCTATCTCTTCTCGTTTATCTTCCTGGCTGTCTCTCTCTCCCCTGGCCCTCTCTCCTGGCCCTCTCTCCTGGCCCTCTCCCCTGGCCCTCTCCCCTGGCCCTCTCCCCTGGCCCTCTCCCCTGGCCCTCTCCCCTGGCCCTCTCCCCTGGCCCTCTCTCCTGGCCCTCTCTCCTCTGCTCTCCCCTGGCTCTCTCTCCTCGCTCTCCCCTGACTGAGTCTTCTATCTCCCCTCTCTCTCCTGACTGTCTCTTCTCTCTCTCCTGACTGTCTCTTCTCTCTCTCCTGACTGTCTCTTCTCTCTCTCTCCTGTCTCTTCTCTCTCTCCTGTCTCTT